ACAAAGTCCATCACTTTCACACACTTCACAGACATAGTAATATATCAATCTGTTACTTACTGTCAAAGGAAGAGAAAAGGAAGTTTAGAAAGGAAAAAAATATAATTTAACAAGCCAGCAAAACCTGGTTTTATTCTTTTGTGATGACAGTTTTTACAATTCTTCTAGCAGAAATACAGGATACAAGTTAATTTGATTGCCTTCTTTTATTCACTAACTTTTGAACATTTTTTTCTAAACCATGACATTTTACCTTGGCAAACAATACATCATAGTAAACAGAAGAAAGAGAAAATGAAACTGCAACGTAATGAATTATACTGACAGGACTGATTATTTCTCCTTGCAGAAGGTGTGTTTGGTTATTTAAAAGCTAAAACTACATTACTTAATAATCATATAAAGCATTTACGTGCCAGCCATGCATTATTTTTATTTTGTAAATGATAAGACAAAGTCATGAAGAGAAGGAGTTGCTTTCAGGAGGAAACTGTGTTTGCATGTTAGAAGTTGTACTCTTAACAAAAGATGGTGGATGACAGTCAGTAGCTACCTCTGACTTTGTCATTTGTGGTCTTTGTTTCTTAGCTGGGCAAGAAAGAGATCTGAGAAAAAGAATAGCAAGACAAACAAACAAACAAACTTGTTCTGATGCTTCAGTTCAAGGATATCTATGTGGTTTGTTTAAGCTGTTGATTTGGAGCTGCTTGGTTTTGTGCCCTTTGTACTTTCCCTGTTCTTTCCATTAGTGTCTTCTATCATGTTGATGTGCTATTGAAATTGAATGCATGGTGTTTATTCCAATGCTTAAAGATTTGCTGTGCATACAGAACTGGGAGTACAGCCCTACAGCCTATTTGTGCACACTCCGTGTAAATCAAATAGCCTGCTGAGCCTGAGAATATTACTGTGGGTTGCTATGCCATAACCTGAACTCAGGAATATTCTCTTAGGGATGAAAAAGCTTGCTGGATCTTGTCAGCTATGCGCTTAGGGAACTGAGGGAGAAAATTATCAGATAACATCTTTATCTGTGAAGACCCAAGAGAACTGGGTTTTCTCTATTCACAAGCTACCTGAAGATATTGGCAACTGTATGTAATCCAAACAAACAAACAAAATCATTCAGTAGGAGGAGAGGTCATAGAACAGCTTCTGCAACAGCGGAGGATCCTGGCCAAGTCTGTACATGCTCACAGCACTAGTTTGTCTAGCCAAAATCTCTTTTTTCTCTGTAGGTGTGTAAAAATGACAAGTTAGGACAGGAAGGGTACTAAGGAAAAAGCAGGGGAAAATGGAGCTTCTGTCACACTGATTTCCTGTGGACAGGCACCAGGGATAGCCCCGTCAATGGTAGCAGTCCCTGTCTCAACTTGTAACTGGAAGGGGGGTGCACACAAAGAGATCTTGCATTTATTTCCTATTCAACACTACATTAGTCTTGACCTGGTTGTGGAGAGGTCTTGATTCAGTTTTATCCTTTCAATCTCCCTCGTTTTTATCTTGTTTTGGATCTGCTAGTGAATGAGTTGGTCTGGCTAGGCCACGACATAATACTTCTTACCAGCTTCTTGACTTGACTAGGAGAGAGATTCACTCTAATATTAGGTATCTATGCTGGAGTCAAGAGCATAGACTATTTTTAGATTCAATAGCAAGAAATGAAGGGTTTGCAGTGCACAACTCATCTGACCTATTTTAAGCATCAATATTACAGCAGAGTATATGACACCTGAATATTGTCTTCTACTGACCCTTAAGAAAGTCTAGGCCACTAACTCATCCAAGCTATTTCACCTGATTAAAGAATTATGCTACTGGATTCCTCAGGATCCCCTCTAAAGTCTTACAAAAACACTTGCATTATCACTTGGGGCAAAATGTATGACCTGTCAGTGAGAAAAAGCCTGGTATTTAATTGGATTTGTTCATTCACTTCAGAATGAACTAATGCTGCAGTAGTGGTGGAAGAATTCTCTGGTAAGGGAAAGTTTCAAAAACTCTCCAGATCACATTTCCCCAAAAGGAAGCCCTCTTGTCTGCAAGTAACTCAGATTTGTCTTTACAAGTCTGCACAATAAATTCATTATTTTTATGGCTGTTTTCTGTGATAGAGTAAATTTGAAAATAGTAAGTTACTTTGCTTTTCTTGAGATCATTACAAGGTTAAAGAGGACATTCAATTATTGTGTCTACATGGTAAAACTACTTCATTGAAAAACAGGTTAAAAAAAATCATGTAGTCTTATGATTACACTACCACTTTTGTTCAGGACAAATTTGGGCTGCCATCAACAGGTATAGTCTGCTCATTCCCTCTTACCCATTCCTGTAATTTGTCTGGTACTAAGAATCTGGGCTAAGAAACATGACAGGGAACCATTCTGGCTGAAAAACATCTACAAATTTTGTTTTATTTTTGCTTAAGCAGCCTTACACAAAGCAAAAAGTGATTGATCTGAGGTAGCAAATGATGACGCCAGGCCTAAAGATGTTTTTTTTCATCTTAGGGTCTTAGTTAGCCAGCATATTTGAACAAAATACATAGGAGAAATAAGGAATTTCTCCTAGTGCCTCTATTAGTTACTCTGTAGATGCGTAAATCAATCAAGCAAGTAGATCTAAGGGTGAGATTCCTCTTGGTGACCCAGAATGCAAGCATTCAACCTGGACTTCACTTTTGAGTCCATCTGTGGTCAGCAGAGACAGGCACCTCCAGAGGGCAATCTCTTTAATTTTAAGAGAAATATCTAGAATGGGTAGAACAAGTCACCCTATGGAATTACCTGTCTTCACAGACTGTTTGGAGAACAATATCACAAACTCGGGCAGGAAGTGTAGCTTTTTGGCGTCTAGCTTAGGGAAGGGTAGATCATCTTCCAAATGACTTGCTGTGTTCACAGAGGAAGTTTGTGGCTGAATTAGATTTCCATAGTTAGCTCTTTCTCTGCTGCCACAACCATTAGCCCATACTCTTTTTCTACGATTGAGCTTTCTTTACTGGTTACAAGGGAATTCTGAATTCTGATTAGACTCATAGGATAATGTGGTGGAATTTCAGAGACTTTTAAAGCTGAAGGAAAACCGTGGATCATCTTTGTCCTGTGTAATGCAAATTGCAAAGAATGTTTGGCTATCCTTGTTTTGAGTCCTGCAATTTACATGGATCTAAAGTAAAGCTAATCCAAACTTAGAATTTCAACCTTGTAAATTTAAATGTGTCTCTGTTTCAGGAATGAAATATGTTTCTTTGGGTTTCTACTGTGCATGAGTTTCAGGCTGACCACTTTTACAATTAGTTCTTCATGGATTGTGAGTCAATGCTGAATCATCTTTGTTTCAGTCAGCAGTTGCTAAACTTCCCAGCGGTTGTCTCTCTAACACCTCTGATTCCCCATGTTTTCTAAGAAAATCCAGTTGGTATAAGTATGGAAATGAGGTGGCCCCAGCCTTAATAGCAGTCCATAAACCAAATGTCTTTTTGCACATACAGCTATTTGAGCTATTGGGAAAGTAGTGTACACAGTTTTCTACTGCTAATCTGGAGTGTTAAATGAGCTAAAAAGATTTCTTGTAAAGCACTGACCCCTTCCAACCAGCATTCCTCCAAACAATTCCTGGGCACAATTTTGGAATTACGATAAGCTAGTGGCCAGTCCTAGAAGGCAGTTTAGATGTGGTTACACTCTGTTGGAAGGTGGCAGAGTTTAATAAAACCTAACAGAATACTTAATAAATAATCAGGCTGGGTTTTTATGCCAAATGGTTTCTGTGCCAGACAAATAATCCCTCTCACGTTTCATTTACGAGTATAGACAGCCATGGAGTCTTCATCAGGAATACTACCAGACCAGAGAATATTTCCAGGCTTCAGGAGCTGAGGTACCCAAGGGTCTGTGCAGCTCCAGGAAAATAGAAGTCTAGTTGAAATTTGGCCTTAGAGCAGTTTGGCAGCAGATGTTACTCCAGAGTTGCTATACCATTCATGTCCCTGAAGTCACTCCAGTCTTGCCATGGTCCATGTGAGTGGTCCCAGAACAACTCCTTTCTGGGCTACACCGGCGCTATAGGTGGATTCAGCTGTTAAAGAACAAAACAAATAAAGTGTCAGGGGATGTATTTAGCACACAAGCCTCAAAACTTAGTCCTGTTTCATTGGGAGTTTAATCAAAAGTGACACATTTGCAAAAGTCTTTCTTTTTCAAACACTGGCATTTTATTATGAAAAAAGCATTCCAGCTCATTACGTAAAGTCAGATCTAAACTGAAGAATACCTTCCAGAAAGTATAGTAATAATATGAAGCAGCAAGATGTATAAAATCCATTATCTTCTTTAGTATTATGTTCTAATCAGTCCACAGTTAAACTTTGAATTTTACAGTTTATTTGACTTTGTTTGACTTAACTGTCCTACGTTAGTTCTTTTATATGCTACATCAAAGAGTCCTTTAATATCTAACATTTTCTGTCTTTGAAGCTACTGAATGCTGTAATCAAGTCTCCTCTTCTTTCCAATACTCTAAACTGATCAAGTTCCTTAAAGTCTCTTTGCTATAAGGCTTTTTGTTCAAAATGAAGAAAAAACTATTTAAGAATGATGGGAAACACTTTTATCCATGTCACTTTCTTATGAGTTCCTTAATAGGCACATGTCATATAACACATGTTGAAAAAAGTATTTTCCTCCTGTCAGTGGCCCAGTTCATTACCAGTGAAATCAGTTGGTGATGCTTCACATTTTTTACATCGATTTTCAGTGAGTTATCCAAGGAACTGACAGGAAGCAAATCAGGGTTTTGGGCATCACTTGTCTCCCGTTGTTATTAACCGAGGTCATGTCTAATGATATAAAGACTGAAAGTGATTGACCTTGTTTTCTTCCCCAGTAGCAGTATCCTAAGCTTCCAGTTCAAATATCAAAGACTTGACAATCAAAGTAAAACTGCAAAGATGTCAACCAGGTCAACATTAGAGTAACTACTTCTGCTGATTTTTCTAGGTATAAAGATTTGGCTGATACAGCAGCAGGAGAGAAGAAGAAGTTGTCTGCCAAGGAGAGATGTCGTCTTGTTCTTCAGCAGTGTAAATTACAAGGCTGGCAGGTTTGTGATCTACAAAGCAATTAAAATATCATTCTTTAAACAAGCTAGCTGAGTCATTTCCATTGTGGCAAGCCACCAGATCCTTTGCAGCAGTGTATTCTTTTGACATTTAATATATGCTTTGGGATAAAATCAAACTGATTTTCTGAGTTTTCTAGCATATGAATAGCTGTGATCATTATGTCAGAAAATGAGTGTATTCTTGCAGAAAGGAAAAGATTCCAATGAAGCATGTATACTCTGTAAATTTGCATCCAGCTTTTTAAAGGGATCTGGTGTACACATTTTAGTGATTGAATGGTTTCTGAATTACAAAAAAAAAACAACCCTGCACATTTTCTTAATGTAAAATCTGCATCCTTGCCACAAGGTTCCCTATAAAAACAGTTATTGGTATCTAGAAGCTGTACCTTGACTTACGAGTCAAGAGAGTACCGCTCTGAGAGTACCATTAACCTCCAAAACTTGTGTGAGGCTACAAGCTTGACATTGGATAAAAACTGTGTAACAGTAATTGCATAGTGTGCTGCGGACATGAAACACAGAGCAGGATGCCTATGGAGTTTATTTCCCCAGGAGCCAGTAACAGCCTTGCAGCATGAAAAAAAAAAAGCAATTGGCCATCAGCAAAAGCCTACATCTCGAGACCAGTGATTTGGTAGTGATTGGCATTTGAAAACAAGCCTGAAACCTTGAAAGACAAAAAATGTAAGAAGGAAATTGCAAAACAGAATCCTTTCATCATGCTCCATCAGTCCCCTGGGACTGAAGCTTGTAATCTCAAACAGATTTTAGAGGTTCTGACTCCAGAATCTCATTAACACTGGGAGAAGTCAGGTGTGCAAAACTATAGCAGTGCATAATACGTTGTCCTTCAAACCAGAAAAGAGAGAAACTTCTAAGTGACACTGATAAGTTAAATGGAAAAGGAGGGCTTGGAGGTGAGAGTTACACCATTGTCATTCGGTGACTAAGAAGTACATGACAACAGATGAAGCTGAAAGGAACAAGGTCTGAAAAAATGAGTGGCCTTCTCCTTACACTTTCTTCAAGCCACTGAGATCTGTGATAAGGAGATGGAAAGTTAATCATGGAAGAAAACTAGGAAAAAATGCATTTTAAGTCCAGACACTTTCTTAAAAGACAAATGCCCAGTGAATACAAGCTTGACACCAGCATGTTTTGCATACGTGACACGAAACCCAACTATCAGCAATAGTGACTAATGTGTGTGTCACATAATCTCTCCCTCTCAAATATCTTTTTGATTCGTTTGCCAAATCATGAAAGTTGAACTTTAAATAACAATCTAAATGAGGGAGCTTATAAAATCTGCAGTTATCATGAGTGGTCTCATGCTTTTACAGCAGAGGACTCTGAAGAAAAAAAAAAAAAAAAAAAAAAAAAAAGAGGAAAAGTTAAAAGGAAAAAAGAAGAGGGGAAAAAGGAAGGAAAAGAGGAATTAGGAATTTAGGGTGATATCAGCTAGCAAAGCCAGAGGAAAGGAGGAGTACATTGCTAAAAAACATCCAAGAAGTAGGGGGTTACACATATAACCATTTTATTCAACCACTGTTGCCAGCAGTAACTACTTCAAATGAATCACTGCTGGAACTGAAAATCTATTTGATGCAGGGGTTCATGAATAAGTCAAAAAATGTCTTCCCCAACAATGTTACCTGCACTTCCCTGAAGAGCTGTTGCAGATTTGAGTAGATAAATTGATCAAAAAAATAGGTAGCTAAAATACCCATATAAAAGGTGATGAAGGTTGGGAGAAAGCAACACACATCTGAAATCAACCTCCTGCTTATGTTGTCATCATCAGAGGATGAGGTTGCCAATAAATTCTACAGCAGAGGGGAGAAAAGGAAGATCTGGGCTTTATAGCTGAGTGAATCTGGATGAATACTTTGTTTAACCCCCTTCTGATAATGTACCTTCACTATCACAGTTTGTGAAGGGTGGTATTAACATGGGGGGTTGGGAAAGTAAATCTGTGTTCTGAAGTAATATCCACAAAATTAGTAAAGAAAACAGTTTCTTTGTATTTATTTCCTGCTTGACAAATTATCTTTTCTTTCCTACATAAGTGAACCAGCAAAACAAAACCCAGAACCTAATAACAGAATAAATTCTTTCTCCTCTTGTAACTACTGCAGTCTGCTTAAAAATGGAAGATAAGTGCAGAAGATTCAATACCAGAATCTAATTTTGCTTCATTTTCTAGTGTTTAGTAGAGCATAAGAGCAAACACTATCACCTAGCCAAATTCAGCAGCTTCTGTGTTAGAAGAAAGTATTTATTAGGGAAGTGTTGATAGGTTTATGAAATGTTGCTGTTACTCGGGTAAGCTGAGCTGGAGATAACTGAACAAGGACAATAAAATAGCTGTTTCATTGTAGCTGGCATACCATGCAGTTTCAGTCATGCACTTAGTCTAACTACTGAAATTATAAAAGTGCAGAACTGTTAATGAAAGGCAGTTTTTGCATCCTGACTCTGTGTACAGCCTAGATAAGGTGTTCTTTCAGCTTAAATGTATACTTGATCTTGACAAGCTTAGCTACTTGCTGTGGCTTTTAAGCACACTCAATGTAAGAGAAAATCAGATTTCTAAATCAAAACAAACCATTCCTACTCCAGACAGAGTGAAAGTAATAGACTTGTTTAACCTCTGGAGAAGTCAATGAGAGTTTTGCTGTCAATGTTAGAAACAGCAAGATGTTATGTAGTAACTTTAGGGTCGAATTCAATAAAAGTAGTGGCTGCTCCATTGAAAGCAGAAGAAACTCCTGCTCTCCAGAACATGTGAAGGTCTTTCCATTAGGAAACCCACAATATCAGTGCTGTCTTCATTTATTGCCATGCAGTGATGTATTAGCTGAGCAAAGCCTACAGTCTCAATACCATGACTAGCTTGCAAACTTTATCATGCTTTGGGAGAAGTATGAGGCACATACAGTTCTTGGCTTTTTTTTACTGACATAAGGAAACTTTCATTTGTTTGGATTATCATTCCTCACACTGTTAAGCTTGGAAATATAAATTCAATAAAAGAGAGTTAGCTCATAGCTTACTGAGCTTTGTCATCAAAACTTGGGAGCTTTACATTTTGTTTAGCTAAAGGCAGTGGTCTGCAATTAACCCTTCTCAGTAACTTCAGATGGAGCTTCCTGAAATGCAAACAATACCAGAAGTAAAACAAAGCATAAATTAAATTTGTTCTTTCTATACAGTGCAGCTGTTAAATAAAAGCAAAGACTAAACTTCACTAAAAATGGATCTTTCAGCCTTTAGCTGTTAGAAATGCTTGTCTGGTTAAAAGATAGGAATCCTTAAAAATGTCTAATAAAAGCTTTGTCTTAATTTATCTTTCCAGTTTTTCACCTGCATCTTCTAATCCACAATGATTCTTTCTTATCTGTAGCCTTGCATTCTGAGCAGAAGGGATCACTCAAAAAAATAAGACAAGGCTTAAGTTTGCATGGGATAAACCAGACCCATCAGGTGTTCCTTCAAGTGCAGGAAAGTAAGTCAGAATGTTTTTATGAAGCTCCAAATCAACATCAGGTAGTTGCATGAGACAAGACATTGTCTTACTGCCAGTTAGAGCCAGTTCACATTTTTTACAGCTTCTGGAACTGTTGTTTCAGGAGTCTGAGGTGTTTCCAGAGAAATGGTCCTAGCCAGTGCAGAGCTGTATTATTCAATTTCTTCCACTCAAAAAAGAATATTAAAAGAGACTAAATCCCCAATAACGGGATATCCCAAAAGTCCATCAAGATATTTTTAAGTCTTCTAGCACTTCTATAAATGCAGGAAGAAAATTAGAAGTCTGATCCACAGTTCTTACCAATCACAAAGAATACGGTATTTCCTTACCGAACTACAGGTGTTTCATTTACTGGATTTGATACAGATGTCTCTTAAGTAGGTTTTTATTTCAATATATTAATATACTATATTAGCATACCAGAGTCCTTTTTGGGAAAAGTATATGTAGGATTAAATAGAAGAGCGTAGATGGTAAGTGGCATATGCTTCAATCAGAGAAATGAGCAGAAGTACATGAGATCAAACATATGTAAATTGTATGCTAGTTCAGAGAGACTTTTAAGTTATTTTTTTAACAAAACTGGTTATTCTGTCTTAAAATGTTAGTGGTTATACTGTATTGAAATATGAATTGCTTCATACATGCTATAATAAAGTACTAGTGTACTTTGCATGCAGTATATTATATAAGGAATTCTTAACCCTTTTTTCCACTGGAGTAGGAAAACTTTGCATACTCATAAACTGTATGCCAGTTTAGTCATTTGTCATTTAGTAATTTTAACTGTCTTAAAAGTCAGTGTTCCTTTTTGGTTTTAATACCTTATTTTAAGAGTCCATTTTCTTTTAAGCAATTTTAAAATTCAAGTAAATTATGAAGATCATATTTTTTTTAAGTATCCCAGGAGAAATTTCCAGACACAAAGTAAATTATTAAAACACCAATGTCTGTATTTCCCTCATACTTTGAATTATGTCAGAAAAATTAATTTGTCCTATTATATCATCACATGTCTAGAGCAGGAATAACCAGAGAGTGACTTTGGACCTCACCAAAAGGCTGCCCTGGGCCAGCCACCACCTCCAAGCTTTCTCCGCAGTTATTTTGTGTTCCACAACACAACTCCATCCTAATCTCTTCCCGGATAATATGTCTTTGACCTCATAATGCTTACAAGCTCTCAGTCTTTCAACACATAGCTCTGGTTTTTGTTCAGTTCTTTTTTTTTTTTTTTTCACTCTGAAATACATTCCTCAATTTCTCTGTCCACCTTTCAAGGTTTGTCTATGATTTGCTACTCTTACAAACCCTATAATTTCTTTGTGACATCTTCTGCATTCAGACCTCTCAATCTCTCAAATCTGGACTCCACAGCTCTCTCGCTCTCTCTCCCCTGGCCACACCTCCATCCCTCCTTCCTTCCCCACTGTTCTCCCCTCCC